TTAAGTCCCTTTTCCACTGCTCAAAAACCCGCTAACATCTGACATCACTGCAGTATACCCAGGTATTTATCGCCTCCTGTCCGTGACTTCGAATGTGACACCCAAAAAAAACCCACCCACACACAGAAAGGCTGCAGAGCTGCTCACGTCTCCTGGCAATGGGAAAGGAGTCTCTAGCTTATTCTTAGCAGGTTTACATTGTTTAACTATCTCTGCCACATTCATGATGCAGCCGAGGAGCCACGTCGTCTTCTTCACACCTTCAGAGACAATAGGACCCTGTGGAGCCACCAGCAAGTGGACAAAGGCCTTGTTTTGTGAATGGTGTAGTTGGAACAGTAGCTGCGAGGTGTGAAAACAACAGACAGATAAGAGTGTGACAAATAGAGAGGCACTAGAAGTTGTTAGAGACACAGAAAGAGACTTTATTTATCCACAGTGAATAAAAAAAAAGGTCAATCAGACGGCCAGTAGTGAACTTGAGGGTTGAAACAGTCTAACAAATGCTGCTGCTGTGACTGCACGCAGAGAGGCCGGCTGAAATCATTAAGAATTTGTGAGGCTGAAAAGGTTGTTGGGATTGTTTGGTCTCTTTGAAGACGAGGGCAGAAACATCAGCTGGGGTCAAGGAGGGAAAGTCGCTCGCCTCTAATGCCAAATCTCTCACAAGTTCTCTTTGTTCTGTCAACTTCCATTTTCAACACACACGTTCTCTCCCACTGCTACCATACGGCAGCTCCAATCTGTCGCTGCTGGCACCGTCCTCCTCTGAGTGATTTTATTTTTTTTTAAACAAGAGTTCTGTTGTCTGTGGCTTTATTGGCGTGGAGAGTCATTCTGCATAAACACTAAATAGATCGGCGGCAATTGGAAAGATTTCAGCTGAGTGAGTGAGTGAGTGAGTGAGTGAGTGAGTGCCGAGAGGTTTAGCTCAACAAAGAGAAAAAAGGTTCAAGCACAGAATGACAGAGACGTGTGAGATGAGAGTTTGGTGTTTGATGTGGTTGTGCTGGACCTGATGTTTGATTCATCAGCAGTGGAGGAGGAAGTATTTAGATCCTTTACTGAAGTAAATATACCAATACCACACTGTGAAAATACTCTTTTAATAGTAAAAGTCCTGAATTGAAAATGTGACTTACAGGAGAAATTCGGTATTTTTTTTAAACTGGACCTAATTTTGCCATATTTTTGTGTCAAAGTGACAAATGGGAACAACAATTTTTGAAATTGGTCCAGTATTGAGCGAGAGCACTGCAGTCGGCAGCGGTGAAACATTTAATTGACATTCCCTAAAAGTGTTTGTTTTTGTCACTGACAGGCTCAGATGTCTGACAACATTTTGGAAATGATCCCTACAGAGATAGAGCTTTGTGTTAGAGAGTAAGATCCTTTTTGTTTAACCAGAAACAGCCCCAAAATCACTTACGTCAAACCCACCAGACTCCATTTAAATAAACAGTGATTTTATCAGTGTAAAACACACTTTATTCAAGAAACAAAGTAAAACTCACAAAAACCATCTTTGTGCGTCCTTCTACTATTTCAACAATCACCAGCTCTGGTTGTGGTTGAAATAAACCTGTAATTCAGACAGTTAGATGAGAGCGATGTGAACACACAGTTTGAGCAGAAACGGAGTAGATCTAAGCGCAAGCAGAGGCTATTTGAGTGCAAGGGCAGGGTTTGAGGGACAATATTACAACATCTGAACATGAAAATGATAAATAATGCTCTCAAACTGATAGACCACTCTTGAATAAAGATAGGGATAAAGCCATAACTAGGCCACAAGCAGTTGAGAATGGAGCGCTCCTATGCGAAGTTCAAAAGTTCCTCTGCAGATCTCTTTATACAAGTACCTCGAGCCTCCTTTATTTATTTATTTTTTGCCTTTATTCACTGATGTAACGTTTTTGTCCCAATATTTTGTGGGATATCTTTGTATATTTCTTCAATGATAATAATAATAATAATAATAATAATAATAATAATAATAATAAAGAAAAGAAAAAAACCTTGGCTTCCTGGTCATGCAATGTGCGAGAGATGAAAATATTGAAAGTGTATGAAAGGCCCAAATCCGGCCTGTTATCCGTTTTTTCCATTTTCATTTAAACAGAAAATCGTAAATTGAAAAACAAGTCGTTATCATATAAATCAAGTCATTATTGTGTTTTTTCATATTTGGTTTTATTTTGAAAAACAAATGAACGGATGATGCATGGATTCTGGTGTGTCGTGGGATTTTGTGATAACCACACATTATTATTGCAATATTGAACTGGGCCTGTACGAAAAGTTCTGAGTCTTTAACTGACTGTGTGCACCCATTTCCTAATAAAGATGCAAACTCTAGCTAACAAATGTAATTTAATTTAATGTAATTTAGAAAACCTTCACGGGGAACCTATTTGTTGTCTTTTGTGCGTGGGAATTTTAAGTGTGTGACACATCAAAGCCCTGATTGGCAGCCAGTGTGAGGGATGATAACAGTTTAAAGGAGAAAACCGTGAGCAGGACGAAGGGTCAATTTATTGTGCAGAACAAATTACAACAAACACCAGCGAAGACAACCGACCACTGAAAGAAAAGAGAAATAAAAAAGTGACAGTAGACAGTATGATGACGCTACCTGTCTTATTTTTAATATTGTTTTTATTGTCTTGTGTCGTGATGACACATGTTATAGAAGCTGTTGTTCACAGATATGAAGATAGGTGTGCCCTGGGCACAACAAGTTTGAAAACCACTGGACTAATGGTTTCAGCTGTACATGTATAAAGTGTATGGTAGTTTAATTTATAATAAAATATCATATTCTATAAACTCTTCATATTTTTTTGTGCAAAAATCTTAGCAATCTTAGTGAAGTCACTGAAGCTGTCAGATGAATGTAGTAAAAAGTACAATATTTTCCTCTTGTAGTGGAGTAGCAGTATAAAGTAGCATAACATGGAAATACTTAAATAAAGTACCTTAAAATTTGTGCTTATGTTTAGTTACATGAATGAATGGACCTTTCCTCTGGACATGGTCCAGACAGACAGACAGACAGACAGACAGGCGATGAGCTCAATAAGCTGTTACTCATCTTAATATATTTTCCTCTGTATTAATGCTGCATCAATGTCACAACGTTTCCCAAAATAAAATCTAATCAGATAATCAGATTTTCCGTAATTTCTTTGAGCCTCTCACAATCAGACAGTCGATCCCTTTAATAGATTCATTTGTGACTGAACCCAGAGCGCTGAATTGTGTCATTCAGAGTTGAGATAAAGCTGCTGTCACCAGGTCTTATCAGTCAGACAGGAGGGGAGGAAGTGAGGGATAATGTCCTGCTTCCTGTCCCTGCAGGATGAGCTCATGTTCTCACCTCACTAATGTCGACATATATCCTACAGAACGTGATGTGCACCGGAGTTTCAAGGCTCAATACAGATCCTAAAGGATGGACGAAAAAAGATCCACAGACTAAATTTTATCCAGACCAAATTATATTTCTATAGTCGGGCTGATGCACCCAGAGTTGGAATTAAATGCACATTTCCACAAGTACTGAACTTAAGTGCAATATTTATGAGTATTTTCATTTTATGCAAATTTATACTTCTCCACCACATCTCAGAGGTAAATATTGTTGCACTACATTTGTCTAACAGCTTCAGTTACTTTGCACACTACAGATTCTTTTCATCCCCCAGGGCCAGTTTTTTCTGACATGAGGCAACACAGCAGTCGGCCCTCATCGCCACTACTTCTTTGATGTCTGTTTGTTGTGTCTGGTCCTTGAGAGAGAGAGACTGCCACTAAAGGCGGATTTATACTTGTGTGTCAGCTCTATGCAGAGACTACACCTCTGTGAGCATTTATACTTTTATACTGCAGTTACACCTCCAAAACACTAGTCGGCGGTGGAGGACGTAAAGCACACATTAAACCCACATTAAACACACGTTAAACACACATTAAACACACATTACACATGGCTTAATAGAGACAGTCTCAAACACAAATCAGCCTCATTATAACTTGCAGCATTCACAGACAAACACTTGTCTTTATCTGGACACATTTCCCCACAAATACAACATGCTAACATTATTAGCACAAGCCTATGGCATTTTACATTGTATAAATTAGCCTAGCAGCTAGCAGAGATTTCCTCTACTCGTATAAAACCAGGAACAACAGCAACATTTAACAAAGGTAACGTTACATAATTCAGCTCTATTACAGCTCACAAGGTTCACTGACAAAACAACTGTCTTATACTAAACACGTTTTACAAACAAATACAACATGCTAACGTTATTAGCACAAGCCTATGGCATTTTACATTGTATAAATTAGCCTAGCAGCTAGCAGAGATTTCCTCTCCACATTGGAAGCTTTATTGTCTTCACAATTTATTGTTTCTTATCTGTGAAATTAAAGTAAATCAAAGCTTTGTTTCCACTGAGCGAAGTGTTTTCAGCTTACGTCACTGTGACGTGGAGTTACATTTCTGAAGTATAAATCCTGCATGTTAGCATGTTCTAGTAGAATGACAACATACAAGTATAAACCTGAAACTGAGCATAATCAGTCCTCTTCAAGGTTTCAGTGCAGGACTTGTAGTGAAATGCTTTTACTCAGGTGAAGGATCTGAACACTTCTGCTGTGACTGTATGTTTGTAACCTGTTTTTAAATGTATGAACAAGCTCAGGGCTGAGTGTTGCAGACAGGTTGGGAGGCTGGACAGTATCAAGAGACCGACTGAGACATTGTTGGTTTTGGTCTTTTCATGGGATTTATTAACAATAAGAATAAAACGCAGTGTACCAGCAGCCTTACCCTTTAGTGTTGGTGCGGTTCCATTTACTGCACAAAGAGTGTATTAAGAGAAACTAGCAGCAGCACTAATGAGCTACATGCCTGCATCACAAATATCCTGTGTGTAAAGTGTCACTTGAGGACACAAAAGATAACACCTCCTCTTTTCTTTCATTCACAGGTATGAAGAATAGGGAGGTGTTGGAGGTGTCCCACGGGCATGTTTGTCCTCTGGCCGTTCAGCCTGTGTGTCTCTGCTCTGCACACAGACACTCTGGGAGGCAGAAGAAAGACTGTCTAAAAATAAACTGACACGCACCACCAGCAGAAAAACAAACTGACGGATTGAAGAAGAAGAGGACAAAGAAGATCTCCCCTTTTGTTTTTGTCTCTTTCACCCCATCTGTCCCTCCCTCTCTCTCTGCTCCATTTCTGTGTGTCTGTCCTCATTACGGCCTGAGAGGAGGTCATGTCCCAGTCTGGAAAAGTCCTTCATTTGTATGTAGAAGTGAGGTCTGCCCCAGATCAGAGTGGAGGGAAGGAAGGGATAGCTCAGGGGCATTCGGTTCAGGACAGCCCAGCGGAGCTCCTGTCTCAGCTAGCGAGCCAGACAGCAGTCACCAAGACCTCCACGGCTCACCGTCTGGTTCAGGACTGCACACAGTCTCCTTCTAGAAACAGCTTTCAGCCCCAGCAAGCCAGCAGCTCCCCTAAAGTCGCAAAGCATCGGAGTGCACCTTGTGATGGAGTGTCGGCCATCCACTCACCACCAATGATGCCCTCTTCTGGAAAGGTCACGCACACGCCTCCCAACTGCAGGAGGTTTAAGGAGGAGGAGGTCAGTGATGGTACGCGGTCTGTCGTCACCTTCAGCTACATCGAGAAGTCGAATGTGAAGACCGTAGACAGTCCACGCAACTCTGTGTGCGAGAGACGGACCAGAGAGGAGAGATCCACCCCCTCTCACTTTCGTAAAAGACTCAGCGACCCAGTTTGGTTTGGGAGTCCCGATTCATCGTGCAGCTCCAGTCCCAAGCTGACTTTCCGATCTCCAGGAAGTCACCAGCAGATGTTCTCTCCCGGCCTTCGCCAACCAGCCTTGGACCCCATCGGCAGGGCAGCTACCCAGAGGGCTGTGGAGGAGTTTGGCTCCCCTCTGCTGAGGATCAAACTAGCCCACGCGCTCGAGCAAGCCTCATCCTCACGCTACAGCCGACAGCCGCGCTGTCAGTCCTGGGCTGGGTCTCCGGTTCAGCGTCCGAACATAAACCTCAAAGACCGTGTCGCAGATAGGAGCCAGGCTGTTTGTGGGCTGCCTCGGAGCCCCGCGTCAGACCAGCTGTGCTCCCAGTCCAGGCAGACTCCTCACTCGAAGCCCTGTGTCGAGATCCAGAGTCCTCTTCACTGGTCAGGAGAGGACAGAGCTGTGACAGGAAGTCCAGCTGCAAAAAGACACGTTCACATGTCCAGCAATAGGAGCACTTCACCGCAGGGAGCAATCCTTCAACTTGGCAATAATGTAGTTGAGGGCTTGAACCAGTTAAGTGACAGTAAATCCTCCTCTCCAGCTCACAGCCCTGAGGTTGCCCGCAGGCTAGCAGAGGAGGCAACCAAAGTATCTTCTATTTTCACAGAGGCGAGACGGTCCTCACTGCACAACGCTTTAGGTGAGCCTGCTGGAGAATTCCACAGTCCAGCTCCAAACGCACAACAGTCTAAGCAAACGCTTAAGATGAACATCCCTTTAAACGACCAACTCACGCCAGCAACTGACAACACAGACTCTCACCAGCCTGAAAACTCCGTCATGCAATCACATGAAACAAACTCTAACTATCAGACACACCTGGAGGACTGCGTTCAGAAGTCCAGCTCAATTTTATCAGCGGCTCCGAGTTCCCCCGCCATTCCTTCACGCGTCCTCCGTCCCTCGCATCCTCCCACTGAGCTCAGCTCTCCCATGAGGGACCCCAGGCTATTCCAAGCTGAGCTACGAGCACCGGATACCCCCACCCTGCATCGCCATCAGCTCCCACAGTACGCCAGAGAGTCCTGGTCCCCGTGCCTGGACAAGAGAGGAGACTTGAGCTGTTTCGAGAGAGGGGACTGCACTGAGCTCGCTCGCAGGCTCTTCATCAATCAGAGCGTTGAGGAGGCTCCAGTCAGTTGGACGTCCAGGCAGCAGTGGGGGAATCAGGTGGAGAGCAGCCCGAGGCCGAGCCCTGAGCCTGGATTTGGGTCTATAAATAATCAAACGTCTGATCGTCAGTCGAGTCGCCGTCACAGGCCGCTCAGTCCCACGGCCCAGCAGAAACGGGCTGAGCAGAGGAGAAGAGAGATCCTGCTGCTGGGACCAGTGGCGCTGGACTCTGCAGAGGAGGACGAGGGTTGTGATGAAGAGGGACAGGGCAACGAGATGGAGAGATATGAGGCAGAGCAGCAGAGGGTGGAGGAGCCTGCAGAGGCGGAGCAGAACGGAGCGATGGGAGGGTCGTCCTCGCGGAGCTCCAGTGGGGTGACGGGCAGCTTGGGGGACAGGGACTGTGTGTCCCCCGAGTCCAGTCAGTCCAGTCACCAGAGCAACGAGACCGGGGCCGCCACCTCAGGAATACAGGTGAATCGCACAACCACAAATTACACTTTCTGTTTCGATGCTAACGAGCAGCCTCCTGGCTCTAGCTCCAGACTCTCAGACATGAGAGCGATATCAGCCTCATCTAAATCTCTGCAACACAGTGACTAAGTGTGTTTTCCAAATTGTTGGACTCTTCCTTTAATGCTGCACTGCAGAGCTGCTAAGCGTGTCTTTGTGTGTGTTTCAGACGGACAGTGGCTGTGCAGTCCCCGTGCCCTCGCTCCACTGTCAGAGGATCGCTCGTGCCAAGTGGGAGTTTTTATTTGGGACCCCTGCTGAGGAGGCTGCTGGCAGGGGGGAGAAAAGTGAGAGTGTTTCCTCCCTTATTCCATCTACTTACTGCAGTTTCATGATTAAAATAGGCACCAACAAATGCACTGTTTTTTCCACATTGAGCAACATTTGCTATCAAATACAGTAACTGACTGTTTCAGGAAATTACTGAGACTTCCTTTAAACATGACGGTCCACGCTTGTGACCTGTTTTTATAGTATTATGTCTTACGGGGGAATGAAAGCACAAAATACGGAAGAAACTGAATAAGTGTTTTTAAAAAACAAAAAATGCAGGTCCTTTAAGATACATATTAAGGTGTAGGTACCTGTGATGCTATTTTGTACTCTTAAAGGAGTTTTGTACGTCTTATACTTAAATCCATTTTTGATTAACTTCTTTCATCACAGCCGTCACTTGGACCAATAGAAAGACAGAGTGATCTGCTGCTGTAGACAACTGTACGACAACAACAGCCCAGCCTTATCGATGTTTCCTGTAGGGATTTCAAACTCAACACTTCCTGTATCTGTTTCAAATTAAAAGCCCGTTATAACTTCGGTTGAGAGAATCCCTTCATTTTCTGAAAAGGCTTTTATTGTGAAACATGTGCAGGAACTTGTTGTGGAGGATTCAGTGACTTGCACAGTTTGCATGTGGTACTTCAGATGTAGCTCCGACCATTTGGTGGCACTTTTTACATTCGGCTAGAACATGAACAGACACAGTGACTGAAATAATAGTAGGACAAGAATAACCCGATAACATCATGGATAATTTTGACGTTAAAGGACAGTTTCATTCATCAGTGACTGACACCACAAGCCAAGTGCCGGATTTCTACAACTTTGGAGGGAGACCAAGTTGCAGAGTCAGTGGCGTAAGGTAGTTACGATGGGCCCCAGTGCATGCTATGTTGCACATATCGTCTCGTCACATGATGAGAGACTTGACACTGGATAACATCAACGTACATATTACCCAAAAGTCATTAATGCATATCTGTGTGTGACAAAAAATACCAAAGAAAATAAGACATGGCGGGGCGTCTGCAGTGATGCGGACGCTGTGCTGGACCATCATGGTTCAGTGGGAGCTGAGCCAGAAGGCAAAGCTTTTGATTTCCTGGTCCATCTCCGTCCCAACCCTCACCTATGGTCATGAGCTCTGGGTAGTGACTGAAAGAATGAGGTCACAGATACAAGCGTGTGAAATGAGTTTCCTCTGTAGGGTGTCTGGGCTCAGCCTTAGAGATAGGGGGAGGAGTCAGACATCTGGAGGGAGCTTGGAGTAGAGCCGCTGCTCCTTCATGTTGAGGTGGTTCAACATCTGATCAGGATCCTCCTGGGCGCCTCCTGTTAGAGGTGTTCCAGGTACGTCCCACTGGTAGGAGGCCCCGGGGCAGACCCAGAACACACTGGAGGGATTATATATCTCATCTGGTCTGGGAACATTGTGGGGTCTCCCAGGAGGAGCTGGAAGGCGCTACCGAGGAGAGGGACGTCTGGGGTGCTTTGCTTGGTCTGCTGCCCCCGCGACCTGGCCCTGGATAAGCAGATGAAAAAGGATGGATGTTTTAACAGTTGATTTATAGTTATAGAATAAATATAAAATATTGTTATAGATACCACTGACTGATACAAAGTAAACATGATGGAGATGGGTTTCCCTTTTACAGTGATGATGAGTGTTGATACTCAGACTGTAATTATGGTTCTGGACCAAGTGGAGCAGGTAGTGATCTAGATCTGTGTTCTGTGCAGTTGCAGCAGGGAGTTAGTAAACATAGCCAATCACGCTGATGTTGATGTTTAACTCTTTCCATCTGCAGATTCTCTGGAGACCTCCACAGCTCCTCCCAGCGGTAACTCCAGCGAGTCTCCCACCCCGACTCCCCCTTCCTCCCTCCCTCTGCTTTCTGCCAATCACGAGGTGCAGCACGTGGAGGTCGAGCTGGTGACCCCACCTCCCGCCGTTATCGGGACGTCACCCAAAACCGGCATCATTCGCCGGACGTTAAAATACTCAGAAACGGACCTGGACGCCGTCCCACTGCGCTGCTACAGAGAGACAGACATAGACGAGGTGCTGCTGGCTGAGCAGGAGGACGCCGATTCAGCGTTCGGGAGTAACCGCAGCGTGCAGGGCACCTCGGGGACAGGCAGCAGCCCACTGGGGGGGCTGGCTTATGGGAGGACAGATGGGGAGGAGGGAGAGGAGAGAAGAGGAGGAAGGGAGGATGGGGAGGAGGAGGAAGATGAAGAGGAGGAGGAGGAAGAGGAAGAGATGGTGAGCTGGGCCAGTGTGAGGATGCAGGGAGACAGCAGGAAGCAGCAGTATGCAGCTCAGGAGGAGCCAGAGGTGTTTGGACACCTTCTGAAGAGGTGAACCTCAAACACACACACACACACACACACACACACACACACTGTGGTGCAGCAGGATTTTCCCCTGACCTATATTTTCATCTGAGTTTGGATCTCACTCGTAACCTAATTTTAATAGAGCAGATTGTAAACATGTTTGTTTGCGTCCGTCACAGTGCAGCACATTGATATGATGACATGATACAAACACAGCTGGAGTCCAGATGTTTTTCACACTTAATGTTGTCACAGTGTTTCTCAATCCTCCGTCTCTGTCCAGACCCATGGAGACATTTTTTGACAACCACCACCCGGCCCTGAAATCCCCCATCCTGGTCTCCGGTCCTCGCTGTGCCACGGAGGACACCTTCAGCCGCCACTTTGAGAGCATCATGGAGTCCCACAGAGCCAAAGGCACGTCGTACAACAGCCTGGACAGTGAGGAGCTGCTGACCTCGAGCACGCAAACCGTCCTGACCTTTGACCTGCCCACATTGACCCCTGCCATCCACGGGCCGGTCTGCCAGAGCGCCAGGCAGATCGTCCAGCTCAGCTTCGCCCCGCTGGCGCACGACGAGAGGCCCAGTCTGTCTGATTCCATCTTCACCATGACGGGGGACTCGGACGCCACCCGAGCCCCCTCCAGCGAGAGGCTGAGCAGCGGGTCAGAAGACACGCCACCAAGAGGACGACAGTGTTCACAGCTGGGCAGCAGCTGGTACAGCAACCTGTCTTTCTCATTACCAAGGTGGGTGAGCAGCACGTCAAGGGTTTGGGATACATGTGGGAAGTTCACACCTGCAGTGTGTCCTCACACAGCTTCGTACGATATGTTGTATGACATCACATGAATTAGCGCCCCAGTCATGGTGTAACATCTTCATATTTCTTACTTAACGTAAGGTGCTGACGCCAGACGTTACAGCATGACTTGAAATAACTTAACGTTTACTTTTGGTTTCACTTGGGACACACAGGGTGCATGCAGATCCTTTAAAAGTCTAAATAGTCTTAAATCTGAATTTGTGAGGTTTTAATTAAACATTTTATCTGATTTCATTTATTCATCTTTTAACTTATTTTTGTCAAATTATTTAAACTCTTCTGTGTGAAAGTCCAAATCTTTGATGATACAAATCAGTGAACCTTGGCTGACTCACTTTAATGACTGTATTCCTGCATCAAACCGACCTCTGCACGAACTAGATATATATACGACTCACCTTTATAAGAAAAAGGTGATTTTCCAAAAAGCAGTGTTGATTTTTTTGGGTTAAAAATCAGCTTGTGTGAAGACGCTTCTGTAGTGTAGTGGATCGTCAGAGGTGATGCCTCGCTGCAGAGGTCACGGGCTCAACTCCGGCTTGCAACCCTTTGCTGCATGTCATCCCCCAACTCTCTCTCTCACCCCATTTCACACTCTCCTATCCATTTAAAGGCAAAAATAAGCCCCCAAAAATTAGCTTGAAAGTGTCTGAAAAAAGCATCAGTTTATGTGTCTGATAACTGTCGACACCCTGACACGATCCTGTCCTCCTTGGCTGAGCTGTAACGTTAGTTAGCTCAGTGGTGCTAGGTGAGCTAGCATTAGACGGACGGTTCCCTCTGTGCAGTGGGTTTAATGACACCACTACTCTTATCAATACTGCTTATTGATCCATCACTTTAACTCTACTCCTGTCGGTTCTTTGGGGGTTTTAAGAGAAAAAATTTAAACAAATTAAGAACAGAATGATCAATTCTTCATTTTCTATGTGTCTAAGTACAGTATATAAATTAACACTCTGCTACAGCATTGTTTTAAATTTAATTTCAATTTTCAATGGTTTTTGTAAAGCCCAATATCAGCCTCAAGGGGGCGTTACAGCATTCGACATCCCTCTGTCCCTGGACCGTCAGAGCTGGTGAGAAAAAACTCCCAAAAAACCTGTAAACAAGGAAACAATGACAGAAACTTCAGGAAGCTGAATAAATTATTGTTATAGACTATAACATACCTGAGGTGGATGGATCAATGGGAGATGAAGTACGAGCTAGGCGGTCAAAAACGGTGCATCTCTCCGCCTGTATGTACCAGATGTTTTAAAGATTGCTTGTGTTTCTGCCCTCACATGCACAGGAGATGTTGAGCTTGTGGCAATAAGCAGTGTCGGCACCAACTCTTATGAAGTGTAACCAGACTTTGGAGCGTTTTGCACTCATGCCATTGGCACTGGGGGCTCATTTAATACCGGGATTCAGCACCCATCCTTGTGGCAGGTATAGTTAGGTACAAAGGAAATAGTTCCTGTTTGAAGCAACCAGGTCATGATTCCTGGAAAGAGACATTGTTGTTGAGTTGTTATTTCTTTGGTGCTCCACAATCTGAGTGTCATCTAGTCCCATTATATTGGAGAGACGTCTGTACGGCCAATATCTCCAACACTCTGCAGCTCACACCAAAACTATCTAGACTGATAAATATCACAACAGCTCAGAAGAAAAACATGTATTTTTGATTTGGGGGTGAACTGTCCCTTTACACTGTTGTGTGCAGTCGCAGGGAGCTGACGTGTTGGCAGCTGAGATGCAGGTGACCTGCTCTTCAGTCATTCTCTAAGAATCTGTGTGATGCTGAATCTGGGTCATGTTTGCTGCTGCACATCATTCTGTTTTCAATCTACCTCCACTCTGCACTGAAACAGGACAACAGCCACATGTTACTGTGCAGTATAAGAGGGCACAGTGTCAGTGAGGTCATCATGTAACTGTATGTTGTCTGCTGTCATGTTTAGAATATGCACAGACACAAGCTGCACCTGGTCTCATGTCAGCCAGTGTGTTCATAAACTCTTGCACAGGAGCGTCATAAACAGTTGAGTTTTTGATGTTAATTCAGTATTAATGCCATTCTTACTGCCTCTATGTGAGGTCATGCCCCCGTTAATGGACGTCTGTCAGCCTCCAGATGAACCAGTGTCTCAGTCTGTGTCGTTCTCCTTGTGCAGCGCCGTGCTGCAGTGCTATTCTGGAGCCCAGTGGCTTCAGAGTGAAGGTCGCTCGAAGGCTGCCTATGGTCCCTCTGCTGTCTGCCAGGCAGGCGAGTGTGTGTGTGTGTGTGTGTGTGTGTGTGTATGAGAGAGAGAGAGAGAGAGAGAGAGAGGCATATGTGTGTGGTATGTGAATCCATCTGTGTTCCTGTTTCTGTGTGTGTTTGAGTGTGTGCATGCATGTGTATCTTGGATGGTTGTATACTTGAAGTGCATGCTTTGCGTGTGTGTGTGTGTGTGTGTGTGTGTGTGTGTGTGTGTGTGACAGAGGCAGATGGCTGCTGCAGCAGTGAGGGACTCACCTTGACTGTCAGAGTCACAAAGACTTTAGTTTTAACTCTCTGCACACTCCCACCTGCGATTCACGTCCAGAACTCTTTGTCTTCATGTTGCACTCAGAATATTCTCTCACAGCTAAACAGAACGATCAGAATAAGATTTACGATCATGTAGTGTTTGGTGCACACAGTCTACATGTTCAGAGGAAATAAATACAAAGCAGTGCAACAGTAGATTTGTCTTGATGCATCTTCCACCCTCCGTCCTGTGAGATCTCTGTGATGACAGCTGGTTATTGTGAGGAAGTGACGGCCATGCTGTGTGACGATGAGGTAGACCACTTTGTCAATGTCATCCTAACTAACTGTGACAGCACTGCAGAGGTAGTGACTGCACCGGGGTCACCTTGTTGCTGTGGCCACTAGATGGCGTAAAAGGATAGCAACCAGGCTGCCAAGGGCCTTTTGTTTGGTGAGAGTAATGCAGGTGGGTAACTGAGCAGCAGGGACAGAAGTGTATTTATGTGTGTGTGTGTGTGTGTGTGTGTGTGTGTGTGTGTGTGTTCAAGGAGAGACACTGCAGGTGAGAAGTTTTTCATGCACTGGTCAATAGTGAGATTTGAGGCTGTTTCTCTTCCACGTCCTCTTTCGGAGTTCATTTCAATTCAGTTTCTATAGTCACCTGCTTCACACGAGCGAACATACTTCGAAAAATATAAAAGACATAAACAGCGACTGCAGCCAAAGCTGGACTGTGTCAGGAAGGTTTGTGGGTTGATGGTGTTTGATAGGCAGGTAGGAGGCTCAGTTATCTGTGAGTGTAGCTGTGCTCTAAATAAACAGGCTGAACTCAGATCAGTTTTCTCTGACAGAGATCAAAGTTTAGTTTGAATCACCAACAAAGCTGTCGAGAGCATCAATAGAGAGATGTTGAGCTTTTCAAATGATGGTCAGTGAGTGTGTGCTCGTAAATCAGCCCCTAAACCTGTCACCACCCAGACAATGTAACTGTGAAATGTTCATTTGCTTTTGACCTTGAAAAAGATAAAGTTCCACGAAATCCAGAAAGGGAAACTTTCAAACTGTGATGCAGGAGGATGTTAGGACTGATACAAACTATGAAGCATTACTTTTGCAGTTTCTCCTGGGTTGGGCCCATTTTTCAGTTAAATTGACTAGACTATAAAAGTAATGACTAAAATGTCATGAATTTTCGTCGACTGTAACAATTAAGGATAAAAATGACTAAAATGTGACTAACGACCCATCCGCGAGGGGTAGTGGTGTCCCAGTTCCTTTTTGTGTGTAGGGGTAGGGGGCATAACAAGGGGTAGTGGGTATGAAACTAGCCCTTGGGAGCGAGGGATCTGGTTGGAAATGTAGATGGCTCGCAGCTTCCTGTTTAAAATAGTTACGTATGCGTGAACGTAACTGACGTGGTGACATAGTGAGTGGTGTCCCAATTCCTAGGGAAAGATTTCTACCTCTACCCCTCGTTGCTTCATTGTGAGGGCCAAGGGGTAGTGGGTAAGGGGGGTATTGGGATTGGGCCTAAAACTAAGAAACACTTTTGTCTCAAGACTTAGGGCCTAATCTAATACCCACATTCCCCTAGAAATACCCACTTGCACTTGGTTTGTGCGTTCACGTTTAGGCTCGTGGTGTCCCAAAACATAAGTGAGGTAGTGGAAGAGGTTTCCAACACTTAAAACCCGCCCTAGATTCCAAGGGAGCCCCGACCCACACTTCCAACAAAATGGAAGATGAAACACCTTGTGAAGCCAGCAACTTCAGCAAGTTTTGGAAAACAGTTTGTTACTGTACGATCAGAATGTAGGCGATACAAACAACAGATGGCTGGACTAACATAAACTCATCAGCAACTCAGTTGAACACTGCGTCACAATATTTAAACAAATCGACTTACCCAAACAAAATCGATCAGAACTGGAAGACATCGTCGGCGCCTCCTGTTTTCAGCATTTCTTCTCCGTTGATTCATCAGACGGAGAAGAATAAACAGAGCACACGCCACAACACAAGCGCTGGAGCCGCCATTTTCATTGCGTCGCTACTACGTGTGACGTATGCCTGCACGTGGGCCACGGCAATTTGCATGAAGTGGTGTCTCATTTCTTAGGGAAACATTTCTACTCTAATATTTCTCACTTCCCTCATCAAGGGTTATCTTGCAAACGAGGGCACTCAGTACCAAGTGGAAGATTTAAGGGGTAGAAATGAGACAGGCCCAAAGACTAAATCTAAAATAGCTGTCAGTTAACATTGATCTAAATGGCTCATTCTAAGGTAACACAACACAACAGTTCTTTTTCTCAGGTGATTTTACACTAAAGAAAACATAGTTATTATATTTCTGCCAATATAAACCTACAGACTGGACCTTTGATACACAAACACTCTCTGAGAGGTTAGAAACAGCT